GTGGGGTTATGCTTGTTCACTAGGAACCGAGTGATCTGTTCCTCGGGTTCCTCTCTGCCCACTCCACTTATTACACCCCGTGAGGTGTTGTCTGGGGTGCTCTTATACGCAAACGTTTCATACGTGCGTTCCTCCACCATGATATTACGGATCGATCCGTAGCGAAATGATCTCGCTTCGCTAGGAGTGCTCAGCACTATAATGTTATGGGCGGCGTTCGGCGCAAACGAATCGTCCTCCGCTTTTTCGATCTTAATGTTAGCCGCTGTTATGATGGCTGTGCGCAGCGTGGTCATTTTGGTGGCACTCACTACGAGTCCCCCTCGAGGCCCAACAACCACGCGGTACTCGTCTTTCTTGGCGAAAGTAGGCATGCGGGCTGACTTTGCCATATTAGCGTTCACTTTGGCAACGTACTGCGCTTTCTGTTCGCGCCTACGCTCCTCCTTCAACTCAGCGTTCGAAGCCGAGAGAGACTTGCTCTGCTCACCTGCGGTTAGGGTATCCCGCTGCGATGGGCTGCCCGTTTTTTGCCGTTTCTTCTCGCGTCGAGAGGCCACTACAGTCCAACCCGCACACGAGTTCGGCGGGTCACAGTCAGTGTTCACCGCGGTAACACACTGTCCGATGCCGGTGGTGGTCGGGAAACCGTCGCCTATCGTTGTCGAGCAGTTCCCGCTGGCGTTGAGTCGCGATCCGGTCGGTTGTTCGGCGGCTTTCTTCTTCGCGGCGGTTAGGCCTAGCTGACCATGCGGATATAAGTGCGGATATAAGCTGACCATGCGGATATATAAGTGCGGATGACCATGCGGATATAAGTGCGGATTCTGCTCGCAAGAGCAGAATCCGCACTTATATCCGCGGCCGAGGTGTCCATGGCTTGGAATTCTTCGTAGTGTTGGTCGTTCTCGTCGTTCCGAAGCCCGGCGAGCTCTGGGGAGGCCTCCAAGGCCACCCCGAGTGCCGCGCCGACCGAGCACATGGTCGGAGCGAAGGTAGCCGTCGTTAGGCATAGCGGGGCCTCCCCCGCTTCGCATATTAAATCGCTCTAAAACTCCCCAAATTGGGTGAAATGGCCCAAATTTGGTATTGACGGGGTCCACTCACCGAGTTGATCACTCACGTACCAAAATTAGTCCTGTAGGGGTCGATGGTCCGCCGAAAATTAGCATTTCCTATGGAGCCAATGTGAAGCGTGACTGCTCGCTCCGCGCGCTCGCAGCGCCCCCCTCTCCTTCAGGACTGTCACGTAGTCGAGGAAACTCTCGCCGGGGAGTTGACGACGACTAGTCAACTCGTGACGTTCAAATAGCGGATTAGTGGACGCGGCGAAAAGCCGGTCGAGCTGCCTGACGAGACTGTCATACTTTGTAACGGCCAGAGCCGAAGAATCTGGGTCAGACGCCAGCGTAATTGGCGTCGCGTTGCTCGGAGTAGACGCCGCATTGCTCGTCTCGTGTCGGGCTTCTTCCTGTTCGACTGCCGCGAAATACATCCGCTGTCCTTCCCGTCCCAGCAGGCTGCCGAGCGCCGACGCACGACACGCGTCGTTCCAGTCGCTGCCGCCAGCCGCCTCGAGGTTGGCCTGAAACATATTTTTCCAATGAGTCCACGGAACCGGGGGTGGCCCCGGCAGCTAGAGGAAGACAGGAAGGTGCTCGAAGAGAGCCATGCTGAGAGGAGAGGTAGTAGAGAGAGGTGTGGAGCGGAGCAAGGGCGAAGGCCTAGGCAAGAGCTTGCCAGAGTCTGCACACAAAGAGCGCTAGGCCTCACGGGTTCTTTCTGCCGTGGTGAGAACCGAGGCGAAGAATATCCTCGTCACCATTGTTGTGTCGGCGAGCGGCGTCCGACGGCGAGGGCCCGACGACTGAACGCGGGACGCAACGTGCGCCGGCACGCGCCCCGGACACAACAAATGCCACTGAGGTAAATACCGACGGTGGCCAGTCTCGTGGCTTCGCCCCTTTTGTTCAAGACACTCACGAGTTCGTAGATAGCCAGCCAGTCGTCGACGTCGTGATCGTCAGTGCCGTTGAATATGGGAGGGTCCCGCTGACGGACCGCGCCGGAGCACACGATGGCCTGGGGAGCCATAGGTGGAGGGCTTGCAGCAGATGCAGTGTTTATGGTGGCAGGTCAAATCCGGCTTCGCAGCTCCAGGATTACGAGGAGGCTCAGCAAACTCCACCAAATATAATAAAAAACTTAGATAGCCAGAACTGTTACTTGAGACCAGGTAGGAGCGTAGGCCAAGCCAGCGAAAGCGGCGACAACGTCTGGGCCGAGCATCTCGTGCTTAGCACTGACGATGTGTTTGCGGAGCTTTGCATGACCCACTACTTCTTCATTGCAGCTACAAAAATCCGTCAACAAATACACAGGTGAGCTCAAGCAACTGACAAGAGACCGCATTTTTCACACCTGTCACATTGGTTGAAGTTGGGAGTCTGCTATGTACTTTAGACTTGAACAGTAGTGCCTGTTCAAAACATCGGCCATGGTTGCAGGAATCATGCCACATATACAGCTATTCATGTTTGTTTTCTAAACCACCACGATTTCATTGCTTTAAGCCCTCAAATTGTAGAATCATCTGGCATAGTTCCCCATTTTCTGGACATTGCTTATCTCTCGTTCGCAACTCATGTAATACTCAAAAGCTTTACGAAGAGAATGGGTGATCACGCATATCGCTGGAAGCAGTCTAGTGGCATTTTGTGCTATTTAGCACATGAACTCCAGGTTTGGGTATAATGCCCTACACCACTAGGCAGTAGCGTGCATATCAGAGAACAAGCCCCCCCAAGTTTTTAGTACTAGCTCCAGGCAAATGCTCCTTTCTAAAATCGACTTCCTTTCAGTCCGAAATCCAACTCTTAGTGAAGCGAACACAACAATGACAAAACAATTTTAGCGGATCACTCGCACACGCTCTCTTTTCTCGGCCTAGCAGACGATGCGGGAGCGCCTCGATCAAGTAGCTGAGAACGACACATATGCCTTTAAAATGGTCTGGACCGGTGCCCAGAACGACAGGTGCTTCACAATTCTCGTTTGCAAGTTTCCAATATACCTTAAACAGTGCGAATACAGCCGAAAACTCAACCGTATTGCAGCTTCGAATGCAGCCGCGGCAGTCGTTCTTGGCCGATCCCCCTTTGTGGGCGAGTACCAGCATATGAGGATCATCATTATTGCTTAAGCAGCATTCTGCACAAGTTAAAACAAGGTCAAGCAATTTTTGAACCACTACACACACACCCCACCCCTCTTTTTTTTCTTTCATGCTGAGATTTTGTGCACCACTTCTCGGCTTGCTTGCAGGGCACGTTCGACCAGATGAGGTAACAACGGCGCACACCCGTTGGCCTGGCGATGGCGCCAGATACACATCACCGGAATGACGCTTCTTTGAGCCAGAAAAATGTTTATGTCGTTATTATGGAAACCTAGGTAACGGCTGGCAACGACGGCGTTCGCAGCACATCAATCTTGTTCGCGTGCGGGAAACCCGGCATGTGTTCCTACCATGCCACAATCACGTTGGGGACTAGGAAACCCATATTTCCCAGAAAGCAATAATGGCTACAGCAAAGGTTTTTTTCTTTTTTTTTTTTGGTTAAAGTTCCATCATCCCACTGATAGGCATCCGCTGTGGTCAGCGGACCGATGGGCGCACGGTGTTACTTTAGGTCCGTTCGATTCACCTGCACCGGTCGGAACCGGTTCACGGATGTGCACGCGAAGTTCAGAAATTGTGCAGCGTGAGTTCAGCGGTGCAGGCACAGCACGACACCCGAAACAAATGACGATGTGCCGACAAGGTGTTGGCCTTATTTCTTTTCGGTTAATTTATATCGTTCAGCAAACACTGATCTATGGCGAAACGCACATGCGGACAGTTTATGAGGCGCAAACATCTTGGCAAAACACACCGCATTTGTAGAGGCGGGTACGGCGCCTAAGCCACCTACGTCTAAGTGCTGCGTCGTCTGCTCAGCTGCACGCGCGCCTGCACCAAGCCGGCACCGTCAGCAAAGCAGGTGCAGGAAAATTGTGAACCAGTGCTGCACCTCTTCTGCACCTTTCGAAACGAATGGCAGGGTTCAGCGGTCGTCAATACTGCACCGCTGAATCGAATGGCAAGGTGCAGCACCTCGTAAACTGGTTCACGTGGTGCAGGTGAATCGAACGGACCTTTTATCCTATAGCTTATCTGGACGATCGCGCCTCACGAATGTCCTCCCCTAACGAGTATATAACACCGTGGTTTAAGATTTGAGTCTCCACGCTTTGTTTGATTGATGACGCAAAGTGCAGGTGGCCAAAGTCGCCTCTATTTCTCGCTGAAATTAGCGCACCTGAGATAATTTTGAGGCTAGTCAGGCATTTTGGTGCAGCGTGGTGCAATTTCAGTCAACTTCGTGGTTTCGGTGCAGCTCGTTACAACCATGAGAAATTGTATCGAATTGGCACAATTGGCGCAGCTGTTGCACCCCTGAGTAGTATAGCAATACTTAAACAGCAAACTTTGCTCAATTGCCCCCATTTTCTTCATAGGGCAAGCATCCCTAAAATTTCTGTGGACCCCTCTGCCCCCATCTTTTTTTTTTTTTAATCTCCCAAGTTTCAGGTAGGCAGGTATATGTATGTGCGCGTTTTATGTCAACAGAGGTTAGTATGTTCCCGAGTCTTATTTATGAGAACTCATGATTCAAATCCATAATGATTCAAATCGATTCCCGATTCTCCTAAAGCTCACCTTATCGAGAGCATTTACTGAAATTGGTGGAGCAACCAGGAACACAACCTACACTCAGACAATTTTCTATATTTGCGACTGTGGCTGATTGGGGACAGCACTGACCAGCTGAGCCGAGTGCCCACAATTAAATCCAGCAGTCGAATGCTGTTGTTTGTCTAAGTGAACAAATTCCCTCGTCAAGTGATTGACCATATTCCAACCTAATCAAATGGCCCTATCCAAACCAGCAAATTGCATCGAAAACTTTGCTTTAATAATTCAGTTGATCGGTAATGATGCATGCATGGGACAGTTAGAGGATATATTGTAAGGTATTTAGCGCAACCTCGACTTGCGCAAACACTCACACAATCACTCACACAACCACCTGAGTAACACACACAGCTTACAGCGCTCACTACCAACTGTTTTTGCACCGCAAAAGACCTTCTTATATACGTACAACAGAGTGCGCATGCAGAGCAAGGACTTACGCATTTTGCATCAGGAAAGCTATCACTCCAGAAGAAGTAAGTGCCTTGTTTGGGTGTGTGAAACCTTCTTGAGGACACGTCAAAAGAGTGCTGAAAATTCTTAAAGCGGAATTGTGGCGCCAAGTAAGGCTGTTTTATGACTGGCTATGTTTGATCCATCAGTGTGAATGCCCGGAACAAATTGCCGCTTATAAACTCAGGAAAATCAAGCGTCATGTAACTCACTTAACTGAATCAAGTGGGAGGGGCGAGCTGACCCCACTACTAAGGCTTCAAAGAAAATGAAGAATGGAAAGAAGTCAGGACATCATTGTTCTCGGGGGTGCAGTGCTGCCTGAAGACATTGAAAAGCTACTACGAAAGGGACAAAAGTACGCGTGTACACTAAGGGTTTTTGCCCATGACCTGGTTGGCCTGATCAGGGATCTCTCAGCCAAGGCCAACCAGGATCAAAAAGATGCCTACTAGATGGTATGGACTGCATCACCAAATGTACAGCCCAAGTTCCGGATAGTAGCTGCAGCAGAAGATTGAATAGGGTGGTGTCATTTTTTAAGAGGCAGAATTTGATGTTAGTACAAGATGACAAGGAGGGCGGTTTTGTTGTTATGCCTCAGGGTTTATACAATGAGAAGGCGATTAGCACTATTGACAAATATTTCCGGCCTGCTAAAAGGAGTGCTGTGCGCGTAAAATCAAAATTTGCCGCGTTCTGTAGAAAAGTAGGTTTACCAACGCTAGCTAGCACCCTAGCAAGCAGCAAAAGCATCAACTTGAATGTGTTTTTTTTCTGCGAAAACCCACAAAGTGGACATACCTTTCAGAACCATCGTTAGTGAAAGGGGTTCATGGCTGGGGAACATAAAGTTCCTTTTAAGCAAACTAAAGACTCTTTATGTGAATGATCCTTTCCGCACCAAGAGCTCCAGTGATGTTGGTGATTTCTTTCGGTCTAACCAGCAGATTTTCTTTGCTTTTTCGGTAGATGTTGAAGACTTGTTCTGTTCTGTTCCTCACAATAAGCTTTTAGAGTCTGTCCAAAAGTGCTTAGAAGATAACGGTGACGTTTTTTTTATGAACGATGTGAGCGTGTCCGTTGACAACTTTCTAGTGCTTTTAGAATTTTATCTTAACGTCACATTTATTACCTTTCAGGACAAGCCCTATCTACAACGACAAGGAATCTGTATAAGATCCGGTGTCGCCCCAGTTCTGTGCGTTCTTTTTTATCTGACGTAGATAGGACATTGGATAACTTTTTAAGTGGGGGGAAGGTTTTAAAGATTTTTAGATATGTTGACGACTTCTTAAATCTTTTACGAAAACGGGCGCCCTATACACCCCCCCGATAACATTTTAAATTTTCAACAGTCTGATTGTACCTCAACAAGTATGTGTAGTAAGGATGCCTTATATGAAGTAGAGCGTATTTATTGTGAGGAAGTGTTAAGCGTTTTCAAAGAGCATGGACGTGGACTTAGCTTCACTGCCGAAGTACCCACAGACACTTGTCTGCAGTTTTTAGACCTCAAGCTGCTGTGGAACAGTGAGCACTTTTGTTGGTATTACCAACCTCGTGTGAAAAAGGGATTGTTGCCGTATGATTCTGCGCACTCTAAGATAGTTAAAAGAGGAATTACTTCACTTTGCCTAGAATCTTCGTTGACTAAGTCATGTCCAGACCACATGCGTACTAGTTTTTATGATCAGATCAGCCAATTGACGGCGGCGGGCTTCCCTTCGTCGGTCATAAACACGGTCGCCGAGTCACTACTCCAGAAGATCAAACGTGGAACACAAAGGGATGAAGCTGCTCGGGATCCTTTGGGTCCCAAGCCACAAGTGCTGCCGTACTTGCACAAGCTCCCCCATAACCTTAAGAAGGTCGTTGCTAGGCATGGTGTCGCTGTGGTCTTTACAGCACCAGATAAGCTAGCCAAGTTGTGTCCGAGCATTTGCAATAGCAAGAGACACGGTTGCCGGAAAAAACATGAGAAAGCCTTCGTCAAATGTTCCATGGGAGTTCTATACTTGATCCCTTTATCCTGTGGAAACGTGTACATCGGCATAACCGAGAGATGCCTAAATGACCGGCTTAGGGAGCATGTGCTAAAAATTAAGAGAAACGAGGACAAGTATGCACACCTTGTGGCACATACCGCCACATGTGGTTGTGAACCAGGATTCACAGACACGCAGGTTCTCGGAAGAAGCTCCAATTTATCTGCACGTTTGCTGTTGGAAGCATATATTATAGACAAAGATAAGAACATCTGAATGAGCGAGCCGTCTTTGGTGATACATAAACAGGAAATATCTTTTCTCGATGCAAGGATTTAGTGCTTCTAGCTGGTGTCCTCTGCTTTTCGTATTTTTTTCTCACCTGTTCCTTTTTTGTGGGGTGGTGCTATATTCATCACAATTGCCTGACACGGTTGCAGATGCGCTGTTGTTAAAGGCTTTTCATATGCGCAGCTTTGTTCTTTGTTCGCTTTGCGCACTCTGTTGTACATATATAAGAAGGTCTTTTCGGTGCAATAAACAGTTGGTAGTGAGCGCTGTAAGCTGTGTATGTAACTCGGGTGGTTGTGTGAGTGATTGTGCGAGTGTTTACGAAAGTCGGGGTTGCGCTAAATACCTTACAATATGACAAATAACCAACTAGCCCAAAAGCAAGTTTTATTGAGCTACAGGATATTTTGTGCAGCTTTCTCTTTCGCAAAAGTTCCTGACACATCATCAGCATCTGTCAGCAACATGAACACATCTGGGTCCAGATGCAGACAGGCAATACTCTCTGCTGGCACTCTGGTGGTGGCGTTCTTGTCAGCAGCTCTCTGTGTCATCTCCTCAATGTTCTGCAGCTTGACCTTCAGTTGTTCCCGCAACACACCTTGCCGGGCCAGTTCATCTGAAAGGGCGTGCTGTCGGGCACTTTCCTGTATAGATACATTCACAGTGTTTGTGACAACATTTGCAGACAATGAGTTGTTAAAGCAGTACCAACATGATCTTGACGCACACCGAAAGGGTCAAGTTTTGTTCTTGTGATATGCACTATTAACACTCTCTATGCACTAAAGCAAGAAAAGATATATAAAGTATTATACCTTCATTTTAAAATTTTCGTCAACCAGCATACTCTCATTTTAAAATTTTCATCAACCAGCATACTCAAAGCAGCCCCACCACAATGGACATGATCCCTGTGAGTCAACAGAGTTCACTTGGTTTACAAAGTCTGTGTCCTGCATACAGTCTCAATCACAGAAATCAATGTCGATGAACAATGATTCTCTCGTTGTTTACGTGGTTCATGTAAACAACACAAAATAATAGAGCTGCTGCTAGCATTTGGCGAGTAACCGTCTCCCCGCGACGTCACACTTGTCTGGACACGTCATCACGAAGCCGCCCCCTCAGTACTAAAACTGAAAGTGCTTCTTTAGAGTACTGACACAAAATTTCGCAACCGAGATAGCCTGCGGGATCGATTCCTGCAAACAAGCGCATGTCATCTGTAAACTATCAGCAGCGAATATAGCTTGGAAGCTGTTTTACAGCGATTTCGATGTTTGAATATTGAAGACACTGACACCATCTAAAAGGACCCCTCGGGGACTCCCTTACTTCCCTCCCGTTACCGCGCTGCAGTCAATAAAACAAGTTATGATGATGTCATAGCCACCATTTTACTTGTGCCCAGTTGTTCCAGCATTCTATACTTCTTGGCGGCTGGTCGTGAGTGCGTGGCCACGGCGCACGCGCTGAAAGTTTTGCGTTTGGCAACACAGAAGTCCTGTTTCCTATTTGAAAGGAATCCTTGATGCTGACCGTGCTGAGGTGTGTCACAGTTCTGTGCCCTGACATGGTCAAGAGCTACACACGCTAGGTAGCGATATTTGCACCCAGCGGCTTGCCGTTCTTGGAGCTCTCTCAAACTGAAAGTGAAACTAGTAGATAATGAGTGACCTGTAATTAATTAACTGTCATGTGCTGCAGCAAATGATGTGCCGTGTTATGACTCACAGGCCCCCAGCATCGCATTGCAGCAAAAATTGTGAGGCCAGTGAGGCACAGTTGTTGTATAAGTACCCCTATACGATAGTGGTATTAAAAATATATGCAATGCAATCCCAAGCCTTACGGTTCCATTTTTAAAGTTCTTGACAGCCATGTTTTATTTATAGCAACAAGAAATTTCATGTAAGTACTCCTTTAACCCTCTGGCTAGAGTTTTAAGGCCAAAAAATACATTGCAAATACAAGCATACATACACTTCTACATTGCAATGCATGCTTTTATTGCATATTTAAATTTTTTTACTGCAACATCTCTGCAAGCAAAGGAGAACTCTACAAAGTTAATGCAAGTAAGCCCAGCTTGCCTTCGGTAGGGGCAGTGTTAAGGACAATAATACCACTTGAAGAGCATTTTAGGAACTGACATAGTACAGTGGAACAAGGTGTCTCACTGCAGCCAACATTTTCGTAGAGGTGGGACCACTGTCACCACATCAGGAAAGTACTCACACCTGCCGTAACTCAAGTCCTCCATGTCGCCGATGGTGGAACTGTGGCAGTCATTGAAATGTGTACCGCTCGGGTTAGTTTTGCAACTACCATGATTTTGCTTCATTTACAGTGCTGAGAAATTGCCCTTACGACATCATCTTTGGGATAGACTTCATATTGACACATTCTACCCTCACCGACTGTTCCACCGGCACTCTCTGTTTAGATCTTCCTCTGCTTCCCGATTCTCGCCCCCAACTCCCGATCAGTCTCTGTACCACAGACTTCAGTCGGATACTACCAAAAGCAACAATTGGCAACAACCTCTCCCGTGCTTGACGGTGATTGTATCGTCACGCCTATTCCTGGTGTTCTTCTGGGGCGCAACATAACTGTGCCACACTCCGTCATAACTGTGGCCTCTAACCAAACATGTCTCCCTATTATGGATTTAGGTTTTACAAAGTAAGTAGTACCCCAAGAAATCTCGGTGACTGTGGGACGCTGTACGAGTCAGTGCGCAAACAACAGGATGCGTCGATGTCTGACGACAAAAGAACATTTATCTAATCAGCATATGGCCGAGGAGGGGAAATGATGCTTGTGGCACTAATGATAACGGTGACACATGCAGCAACGCCATAAGCAACATTTTTCTTTCTTGAAAGAAGATGGCTTGACTCAGGACTCTTCAACAAAGCGTCGCGGCTCTTGGCGTTTTCTGGTACAACACCTTAGTAGTTGGTGTTGTGGTCCCGGGAGCTGTGGCGATGTAGCTGCTGATGAGCTGTGGGCTCGGATATGCTCTTGGTTGCAGTGGAACTATTCCCCATCTATGTTGGCCACAATGTACGATCTCAGTGTTGGGTCTTTGGAGATTACAATCGCTAGATGCCACTTGGAAATTCGGGTGTTAAACACTGTGACTTCGGATCTAGGATGTAAATGTGCTAGATCTCTTGTGCCTTTGTTGTACTACGTCTTCTGTAACTGGCGGATCTACTTGAGTCTTGGCGTTACCTGCTTGACAGGCACTGTGTTAGGCTCTAGTAGCTTGGTGTGGACAGGCAGCTGTGTCCTTGTTCTTCTTCCCATCATTCGCTGGATTGGGTACTGCAACAGCTTGCCTCTTGGAGTGTGTTTCTCCACTCTAGTGGGGCATTGTAAAACCCTGCAGTCAGGGCCGGATTAACAGTGCAGAGGGCCCGGTTCAAAAAAATAATAATAATAAAGGGGGCCCCTCCCGTCTCGCCCTACCCTCTTTCTTACGCACTTTGTCATCCGGTTGTGCTTGAGACTTGACACTTTTTAGATTTACCTGCAAAAAACATAAACCATATTTTTTCTAAGTGTCTCCGGAGTGATTAATATCACCTGGGGGTTTTCTTTCTTGCAGAGCACGTGGAGAGATTGCCATTGTAACGAATAACAATATCAGGACACGACACATAGACAGCATTAAGATTTGTCTGGTTCATTGGATTATACTAAACAGGGACTAAACTGTGCGAGAAGTCAAAACGAAAAGAAGGAATGCATACGACACTTAGAAGTAGTCCAAGCACCATGTGTTTTTTTTTTTTTTTTTTCATTGGTCTTAACCTATAGCATTGGTTACTCTTACTTCAAGAGAGGACATCTTGCCTGGAAAATCAGGAAGCACCTTTGTGCGAAATAGCTTCCTCTATCTGCTTCAGCTTCACTGATTCGATATCACACTCTTTAATTGCCTGCGGGCGAGCACTGCCAAAGTTGACAGGTGGGCCTTTTTCAGAAAGTGTTCACACGTACTTTCAGTAATTAGGCTACCAATCGTCTATCTACTTTTCATTTTATACACCAACACACATTTCAGCTCTTCTAGGCAGCATTTCGATATAGTACTGCTATGCATATTGTATAAGTCTACTGATCACAACAGCTAATACAGATTTTTTTAAATTATAATCTTTTCAATACGGGAAGGTGGTGGGCAAAATGTTTCAGAAATTGTGGCACTTATAGAAACTGAGATCCATGTACAACTTTCCCAAAAAGGCTTTTAATAAAACTCGAAAAACGACCACAGATATTTTCATTTAGGCACCAATTGTTCGCTTTTAAACATGTGATAGAGTTACACTTTTTGCAGGCAATATTCACTTCCATAGGGCTTCAGAGCATTAAACGATATTTCAAACAGGAATCACTCTCTATGCGCCTTCACATTGCGTGTCAGACCGCAGCTGCTAAAATCCTCGTCAGGCTGCTCTATGTGTCGATCCACTGGACCCTCTATGTACATGATGCATGGTCTTGGGCGAGTAAAAGGTTTTTACCACAGGCTACAATACTGTGAGCTGACTTCAACACTATGCACATTACACAACGAACAACCTCTTAGAAACATGTTTTGATGAGATTTCCTAGCACCTCTGAGAAAACGACAAAGCTGCATCATAATGCGAGAGCACACGCAATGAAATAAATGGTGAGCTCGTCTTGAATGTCACCTCCCTGCACGTGTAAACCTGCCGCGTGCACAAGAACAGGGAAACAGGCCACGTTGGCCGATCAGACAAAGCCAGAAGCTGAAGCGAAGAAGACGCGTTGGCCTGGCCGGACGTCAAACTTCGGGAGGCCAACATTGTCGAGAGGTATACCTAGCTCGTCGGACGCCAACGCCCGAAGAGCTCCGCACATGGCACGTCTCCTGCTCCGGCGTCCAGCGGACACAGCACCTGCGACAACACGCCTAGCCTTTCTTGTCCGACAGCATTGACGCTGCCGCAGTTGCTTCGTCAGTCCCCAAATGCGTGAGCGCGTAGTTTGTTTGAATCGATTGGATTCTAAAGATGCTTTGCCATTTTATATTGCTTGCTGTGCTTTGTCTTCACGCCATTTTTTTGTGTGCGTTTGAAACATGTTTATGAGTTCTGCCACTTACGTACTATTCCTTGCGGTTCTAGCCAGCGTCTCTGATATACATAACTAATCGTGCTCACTGAACCTTACTTTATAACACATGTATATTGACTATTGAAATAAATAATCTGTTTGTATCCAGGAAATCCAGCAGAAGGGTTAAACTTTTACGAACAAAACAACAAAGTCAGCCATTTTTTCTGGCCCTTGGGGGGCGCCTAAGACCGGAGGGCCCGGTTCATTTGAACCTTTTGAACCCTGGATAATACGCCTCTGCCTGCAGTTCCGTAAATAGTCTTGTTAAGAAGTTTCTCCACCTCTTGGTCGGCTCGTTCTGGCATCCCACTGGACCATGGATAGTGCGGACTCAATGTGGTGTGCTTGATGTCACACTTGCTCATGTATTCAGCAAATTTGTGGTTGTTAAACGGTGGTCCATTGTCGCTGATAAGCTTACGGGGAAGACCGTGAGTAGCCAAGAGTACTTTACTTGGCAGAACATGATGACGGCTTCAGCGGT